CGGCGAACAACAAAATCAACATTTTCACCTCCGAGCTATCGCTGGAGCTATCGGCGTCATTTTCGCGTCGTTCGCAACTTCTCGCGCGTCACAGAACCGATATTCGCGACGAAGCGGCGCAAATTAGGCAGAGTATAGTCGCGAAAAATTACCATACAAATGGCGCCGACTACCCATCGAAACTCGTTGGCCACGCGGTGCATATCTATCGTCGCGCGATATTGCCATCGCGCATCGCAGAAGTTTGATCCACTTTGGTCGCGATGCTCGTCGCGGAAGCATTACTTTTCTCCAGATGAGAGGGAGAGAGGTGGTGCAAATATGTGGCGTTTACGAGTCGTCTTCGTTCGAACGTTCCGAGCGTTCCTCGAATACATATTGCCTGCTGGCGGTAGCAGTGCAATTAACATCACTCGGGACTCAAACCCTCTACCGAACCGGGACGAGGGAGGTAAAGACGACGGGGGAGGATCGGGAGAGAGAGTAATAGTTTTCCCAGTCAGCCGTTTCTCCGTCCTTCACCCTTTCATGGTGTTCCTCCCTGTGCCCCGTTTTTCGACGGTCGTCTTACTCCACCTCGTATATATTTATCTCTATCCATCTTGGCGAAGTTGGTCTACATATTTTGCTGAAAGCGGTTAAAATGAGCAATCTCTCCCTTCTTGCTCTTAAAATTTAGGCAATAAGAAACCGGTAATTGAATTCTAATTACTTTAGTTTTCGGGAGATCCAATGGTGCGTTTGCAAGATGAGATATATTAATAAAAGAAGGTCAATACCTAAGGGAACATGGAATATTAGGAATGTGATTGTGCTGTTAACATTTGTAGCTGACGACTTTGAACGGCACAAAAACTGTCTGAATAGCATTTTTCCCTTGCATTTTTAGTCGTATTTTCTCGTGATTCAGACTCTCTCTTGTTGCGCGCTACCGTAATATGCCTACTTTTACCCACACCGTTCCTTTTGACACTCATAAACCTGCCTTACTATCGTCGTGTAGTTGTCTTGCCGACTCTTGCTGTTTTTCTCTTTCTTTTTTTCAGTCTTCCTTCTTGCCTACTCCAAGTCGTATCTTCTCATTTATTTTCTCCTGAGTCCTATCTCCCTTTTCTCCCAGTATTCTCCATTCTCTTGCTTTGCATCCCTTAGATCGTAACTTCTCTTTCGTTCTCTCCATGGGTCTTTTTTTCTTTCTCTTTCTCTTTCTCTCGGTTCACCCCATGTATCGTAGCTCTTCATTCACCCCTCGTCGCTTTTTCTCTCTTTTGCTCTTTCGCTTCAACCTCCTGTTCGCCGCAATCCGCTCTCTTTCCTCTCGATGGTCGTCATGGTAACCGCTTCTGTCTCTGTCTACGTTTCCATCTTCGTCGGTCGCGGCCACTCCATCTTCATGTCCATCCGTTCCGAAAACATTGACTTTACCATGGCGGTTGTCGCATGATCGGTGATCCTTGATGACTAAGGATCTGCGAAAATGCTGTCACATGGTTTACTAAGACCCGGGAAAAATTTTCGAGAAAAAAAATGCGAAAAAAATCGTCAGGTCGAAATATCTTTCATCAGTAACGACTTGTTGTAGCTTACAGATTTACATTTATATTACAAAAAACATGAGAAAATACAACACGAAAAGAATGTGAAAGCCTTCACCCAGAGAAAGGTTTCTTTGATTTAAAGAAATGTTTCTTTGCTCTACGGTTAAAGAAAACATTTCTTTGATTTGAACATAATTTCTTTAAATCAAATAAATTTTTTTATTGGGTGTTGAACCTATTTCTTTCGCTTCTCATGGAATTTATAAGAAAAGACTCCTTCAATTAATACGATATATTTATATGTATAATATGTATAAGAGAGAGATTATATATCAAAAGAGAGATTAATTTAAATCATAATATAAAATCATTAACCGGATTTATTTTTACTTATCTACGTAAATACGACAAATAGACGTGGGAGCTTCATTTTCGAGATGTTGTGTAAGTATAACGCGAAGCTGTATAATAATTACCAGCCATTGCCTCGGGAAAGAGAAAGACAATGCCGAGTAATTTTGTATGAGTGGAGAATGAGAGTCGCTGCGACAACAACGATAGGAGATATTCTCGATAGAACTTTGATCCTTATCGTGCAACTTTGATGTAGACAATCGTGCTTTGAAATGCCTCGTTAGCCGTCCCGTATATCGATGTCGCGAGTTGAGGTACTCGTAGTGACGGTTTGCCAGGATCTTTCTCACATAATACCCGAGTCTCGGGTAAACTGCATCGTAGAATAGCAGATATCTCAAAACTAAATTTCCCAACGAACTCACAGTAAGCTTACCACATTTAACAGCCACTTATTTCGCGTCCGCATTCATGTACTATACGTTGTCGCACGTACGATGTTATCATATTCACATGAAAATGTAGAATTATAAACGTCCGTGCAAAGGTAACAGAGTAACCGCACTCGAAAACTTTAATTGAACGCTCTTCAAACCCAACTCGCGACAATTCTGTAGTATCTAATGTGGAGAAGTTTAAGCCGTTTATATTCTTGCTGGAAAGATCGACCGCGAGTTTATTAAGGAAGACGATCTCCCTGGGTTCCGTGTTCAACTATTCTCAAAGCGATGTAAGGCGATTTTTCATCGAAACCTGACTTTTCTTCGTTCCTCATTATGATTCCGCCGTGCAAACCGCCGTTCTCACTTTGTCACTGTCTAATAAAGCTTTTTGCTTTCTTGGCAGATTCACGGCGGCGCCGTGGTCTTAAGTAAACTTGACCCGAACCGTCCGTTAATGGATTCGGGAACACTCCCGGGTCCATTCGAGTATGCAAAGCGACGAGAGCGAGAAGAGAGGGCGGGAAGGGAGTAAACAGAACCATTCTGGCGATAGCGAAACCATTGGTCGACTTTAAACGATCAGATACACTTTGGTTAATGAGATTATTTGACGCCATCGGAGTCACCGCGTTCTCTCTTCTCAGCAAACTCCGGGAAAAGTTTCGGTCCACCGGAAATTTTCACGATGCACTTTCGACCACGAACGATAAAGGGACGGTCACCAACGGGACTAAAATTTCCACTTCATTTTGTAACAATCGGATGTACATTCCGACGTCGATAATGCTATCAAATATCAGATTATTAATATAATATACTGTGCTCGCGCGCGCGCGCGATTGATACACTTGGAGATAAACAGTGGTATACAAGCTTTTTATGTAGAATTAATGTACATATAGTTGTATAAATTATTTTATAGTTGCAATATCTATAAAATAGTTTATTCAGCTATGTATTGCATATATTAATTCTAAGGTAACCGGACTCTATATGGCTTAGAATCTAATATGACCTATTCGCTGTTTGTGGATAATTACACGGTGAATTTAACAGATATAACATTAGTAAGTCATGTGCAGGCTGTCCATCTGACTCGATTGCATCAGTTTATTGCTCAAATAGTTCATTCTGTTATTGTCAGTAAAGCAAAATGCAGTACATCATGGTCATGATGTAACATTTCATAGATAAGTAATTGCTTTCTACAACTACTAAGAGATAATTATTAGTTTTCGCAGTTTATATTATTGTAGCTCTGTACTTCTACTTTACATTACTGTAGTCAGTTTATATTTTCATCACGTTTTGTTTATAGTTGGAAAAAGGAAACCCTTTGTGAAATGGTATCAATATATTGGCCAACCTAGGCGTACTGAGTGTAATAATCGGTTGTAACGTTTTTTTTATACTTTTGTTATTTCCACCGATTCTAATTCACCTGTTAAATATCGTGAAGATAAGTAAATAAGTACATAAGTAATAGATAAGTCAATTGTTTGGAAAATAGTTCTGTATGTATACGTCAATAAATATGTCAATTAATATGTCAACAAACTTATCATTTTATAAAATAAATAATATAAAATAACACAACAATCATGTTGAATCACTTTATTTTCCATTTTTCTAATATTTTTTATGAAAAAAGGAAGATCATACATTAGATACATATGTACACAACATGATATAAATGTTATGTTTTCTTAAAATCTTCACTGCACTCATGTAGATATTTGAAAATGTGTCATATTTTTTTAATGTGCAAAAATATTTCCTTTTTTAAATCTGAATCTCCATCAGTTTTTAATTTTGGATTCGGCAAAAAATTGGAAAAAATCACAAAGCTTAGACAGGTCATATTAGATTTGGTTACCTTAAATATAAAACTTATGCAGTTGTCACCTTCATAATTGCTATCACTCTTTTTTTCTGAGTGTGTATAGACAAAAGCCGTCGACAAGAAAACGAACTAATTATCCTTCAACTATTATCACATCCGACAAGGATTTATGGGTTTCTCGAGAGCAGCGAATATATATCTCGATTGTGATAGTTTGGCGGAAGCACACGAATCACGTATTAATTGGTAAAATTAAAGGAAACTTTGCCGCTATAACGAAGTTGCCTGCGTCGGTGGTGCCGACTATTTATCAATTTTAATTAAGCCGTTCTTACGTAAGTGATTTCGCGTTTTCCTGCGCGCGGACTACTCTGCGCGAAGCCAGTATTATTCTTAAGTACCACGCCGGACCGTTAACTGCAGCTTGCCAGTTAATTCTTTCCGTAGTGAGGCGAAGCACTTCTTTTGACTTTGCGCCACTACTAGTATTACTGCCATTAGTAGTACTGCTTACGCCGCAGTATCGTTAATTGCATTTTCAATGAGAATATCTCTGTTGCACTACAACGAACAGTATAAGTAAAAATTATGTAACGGCTTGACATAGTTTTCGTTCAGAGGCACTTTATAACGACCTAGATCTTCCACAACAATCGATTTATATTGTCTCCTCGATATTTCTAACTTAATCCTATGATGTTCTGTTGACGAAAAGATTTTAATGCTGTACGAAAAACATTCGATTACAAAATAGAATTTTGCATTATACATTCTATCGAGTGAGCTCTTGATCTTTTCTAATTTTGTTATTTCTTCTTCCAGTGTTATTTCCAGTAACGTCCTATGGAGGTTAGAAGACCAAAGGAACATGGGATCAGTTATCAAGATGGAAACTCTGCAAGTATGTGAACAATTTATCTCTGCATAAAAATTCATTAAAGAAGCTATATGTCATGTCGACAATTTACGAAGATTCCCTTAAGGCTGCGTTCAAGAAACTTCACTCGAGTGCATCATGTATTATCCTTATTGTTCACAAATGTTAAATAAAGATAAAATGATACATGAGTGCACTCGTAAAGTTTCTGAACATAGCCTGATTTTACATGTTTTGGGCTTCACATTGAAAGAAAGGTGTTTGGTACTTATAACTATAATTGCATAATCTATCCATAATTATTTAGGAGCTTTATTTTTATAATTATTATGTCAGTAATAATAATTATAGCAGAACGATTATAAATTATAATTGTTTTCGGTGTCTCATTATACATTTTTATATATATATAAAATTATAAATACCTATAATTATTATTTTTAACATTATAGTAATAATAACTGTAAAAATGGAATTCCTAATCATAATTATTCTTCCAATTGCAATTATAATCACAAATACTGAACACTTCTCCGAGTGCATATTTACTCGGTCGTACGTAACTTTCGGGTCAACAGAGTTCCAATGTTCACACGATGTTTTACGTGTCCTGTGGCTAATTTACATACTCGGGCCGGGCGATCCTGGATCGAGCTAATATCCGGACGGTAAGTCGGCGCATTAATTGCATTAATTCCCAAAAGTAGCTGGCGCGACCTGGCCACGCCGATCCGATCGGCGATGGCCGATGGGTTGCATATATCGCGATAACGCAGGCAGATCGCTGTCGGCTCGATGAACAAAGATAGGGTCAAACCGACGTGGGAGTGGAACGTCTGGTCGTAGCAGTGCATTTACATTTGTAATCGCATCGTCGGGGTCGTACTGTCTAATCCGCTCGCGCGGCTTGCAAGAGTCCGATCGAGCTGAGTGCTGATCGAATGAAGCAGACGCGAACCATTTATTAACTGAAGAGCGCAGTAACGAAACCAGTCTTCAAATTCAAAGTGCTTCTTAAAACATTACAAAACTCTTAAAGCATTAAATTTCGCTTTAGTTACAGTTATTGAAGATTAATTTAAGTACTTAAAGACTTTATTTTCAATCTTATAATCTCGTAATCGGGAAAGAATATTTTTAATATTAATTTTATACAACTCTTTTTTTATAACTTGATATTAATTTTATTTAACTCTTTTCTCATTTCGATAAAATATTCTTGAAAAGAACTCAGTTCATTAAAATCCTTAATCTATATAATTCTATATACAAGAGCTTTCTGCAGCATTGCTGCATGCTTACGCTATAATATCCGGGATTAAGAACACGAGGAAATCGGCATTGCATCCTGGTGCTTTTGCTTTTTATATTTCCCAGAGTAAACAGGATGAATCCATGCGATAAAGTGAAGAAAAAAACAGAGCAAGCAAAGTGAGCCAATTAAAATTGCGGTTCATCGTATAGCGCCAAGTTTTATCATCGCGCTAGCGAAACATATAATTGTTTAGTTTTTGATGTAATTAAATTATGCTACAAAAATGCACGTGTGGACGAAGCAACGCCTCTATTGTATTATATATCTCGTGTGTAACATACATATATTTCCGTAATTGAGCGCTACCGATTAAGTATATCGGCTACTATTCATACTTAAACGTGAGTTATTGTTATTTGAATTCTGTTTTTTTTTCTACGTTTTTTTGTATGCAAACTATTTTTTGCGATACTTCCCCGTTAACAGAAAATCAATAACTCTTACAAAACGACCTGTCGTGAAATGAATGATACAACTGGGATTTGTAGTTCGACATTTTTATAATTCGTTAGTAACCGTCCGTGTGCACAAAGAGGCAAGGAATTCGTTTCGTCCGCACGACAAACGCGTTTCCCCATTTTGAAACTTTTAAAACAACGCACAAGTTGAAGTATGTGCAGGAAATATTCCATAAACTTCTCTAAAACGATAAACTGAAATATCATCGAGCAAATAAATAAATAAATGGTAAGATTATTGCCATTTTATTAAATATTTAAAAATATATATTTATGGTTTTTTATGTGTGTTTAATTAAACATATTTTTTCCTTTTGTTTAAAATAACAAAAGTTATTTTTACAAAAATAATATAATAATCAATATATTTTTTTCAAAGAATAAATATCTATAAAAATTTTACGAGTTATTAGATTTGGATTAAATATTACATGTTTGGATTAAAGTACAGAGTTTCCGATTTCCGATTATATTAATTAGAAAAATTATTAGTTTTTATATATAGACAAAAATTTTATATATTTAACTTTGTAACTTTATTTATTCTTTCCGAATATTTTATACATAAAACTAGTTGACCATGAAAAGTTTACAATTTATTCTCTCTTCATAGAATTCTTTTCATTCCCGACGGTTATTACAAAATACCGAGCTAGGATTAAAAAGATAAATATTAAGAACGCGCAGGAAGATAAGCTCGTCGTTTCCCATGCATTTATAAAACACTTCCGGCCGGATTATAATTTCAAATAAGTCTTGTAAGACGGAGAAAGACTGCTAGAAGGAGCACCTCGGTTCATTTTAAAAGAAGAAATCGCTACTCCACATTAAGGATCTTTTCGTGCGTCCATAGGAAGAAAGAATACGGTCGCGACATAATATCGCATTCGAATACAATAGACGGCTTATTAGCATTTCGTACCTTCACAAGACCCCTGTCACCTATGACCCTTTCGAGCAAACGGCTTCCACATATGCAGATACACGACGCTTCAAAAAGTATCGCCTCTCATGTTTTTCTCCGAAACTTAGCTTTAGAAATCGTTCCTTCTTCTTTTCTTCTCTCGATGAGAAGTTCAATTGAATAATTCTTGAAAGAGCCAAACTCAGCCAAAAGTTTCTATACTTGTTCCAATATACATCATACATTCTTTTAACCATAAGTTTTTTTTAATCATTATTATAGATTAAATGTTTTCTCCCCGAAAAAATTTTTTGAAACGTGTTATATCGCACGCGTAACAACTTTCTTCAATCTTTTTAAATTATACATTTCTATGTAATCAAGCATTAAAGGAAATTTCTTAAAGCAAAGTTTACTTAAAGTCAACAGAGAAGTCAAATATCAGACGCGAAGTTTGAAATACCTCCGCTGTTATATTTCTACGGAATATCTCTTAATAGTTATGCATCTTTGTGCTCAATCTTCTCTTCAATTATCTCTCTCGTTATAGCTAAGATCTGCGGGATTTTAATCAGAACGCAAATTAACCGAATAACCGGGAAGTAACACAAAAACAACTGTAGGTGAGATTTGTAGACGCGACTTTAATAAAAAAAAAATCCAACTTGAAAGTAACTATATAGAAAGGACAATTTTGCTGAAGTATCTACAAATTTAACTAGATACAGTTTTGAAAATAATTTTATATTTTTTATTTTATTTTATTTTCAGATCTTTATACCTAGCTAGATTTTTAGGTACTTTAGAAAAATCGTTTTTTCCGTATAAAAATAAGAAAAGCGCCGGATAACTAGCCTTCCTGCCCGCTATTTCTCGTCCGTCAAGAGCACGTAGAAAAAAGAGCTACAACTTCGAAGTTGGTACAGGCATGTGTACGTACGTCGAGTAAGAAAGAAAAATCCTTTTGCTTCTTCTCCTATCCTCATTTAAGAGAGAACGAACGAAGAGTGGGAACGCATCCTGGAAGTGTGTCCGCATCGCTAGCATCTAAGTAAGTGAATCCGAGAAGAGAGAGCCACGGCCTGCGACACCCTTGTCCCTTTTTTTAACGGTGGCGGAAAAGAACCGCTAGAAAAAGCGCCTTGAAACCGGTCCAGGTGGAAGAATGTATGTACGCGCGCTTTCGTAAATCGGCAAAAGGTGAACACCTGGTCGTCTGCTCGTCGTCATCTCCGCGCGGCGTCCACCACGCCGAGATTTAATGGAATCGAAGATTACCGCGGCAAGTTCTTCTTGCCATTGTTGCAAGTAACGTCGTTAGCCGTTTTCGGCGCGTTACCGAGGCAGCCACCTTTATGAGTTTTTCAGTCAACTCTGTAATTTCAACTCGCGAAATGATCGTTATCCTTTCCCTGCCGTTGTACTTTAATAGGATTCCGCTTGTTTTTTTGGTTTCGCTGAAGCAAAATATCGTTGCTCGTTATTAAGAATTAATCAGAGCTCAATTAGAGGGTAACTATAATATTAAAATGTTTTTTTGCAACAACTTTCTTCAATCTTTTTAAATTATACATTTCTATGTAAAGATAACTACTTTAAAAATAATTACAACAAAGTTTTTGTCATTTAAAATCGTTAATAATAATAAAATCATTTATCCAATAAATCTAATTAAAAGTGACGGTATAATATAATTCAGAAATATTGCTAGTACGGATTGATGTATCCTGCCAAACTATATTTCACGTCAGACATTAATTCTTCGTTTACATCAATTTTCGTTATATTTCACGTAAATAAAAATTTAATGAAATTTCAACACGGATCGCTAGAATTGGCATCAAACGCACTATCTGAGACAGAGATCGAAATAACCGCGCAATATTCCATGCAAATCACCGGGTTGCTCGACGACTTATCGGTAAGATTCACCATTTCCCAATTTGTACCCTGCAGAACCAATAGAATGACAAAGGACCATCAAGAGCTCTAGGACTCTCTTCCGGATAAATCGATTCCTCCCACCTTCTATCTGTTCAGCAGTGGCTCGTTTCCACCTTGTACCGGAGGTCGTCGTAGTCGTCGTCGGTTGCCTTTTCTCCCGCTCTTGCACCGAGACAAATTAACGCCCCGATTATTCTTCTTTTGCCTACCTACCTCGACAACAACCTGCATCACGCCAAAACCAGCACCACTCGCCCTTCCCCAACACCGAAAGCTCCGGTAATTAGCATAATTCGCGATAAAGAAAAAAAACAGCATCCCCGCGGAACGACGTCGAGAGGCGGCGAGAATTGCAGAGAGATCGCAGGGAGGCAGAAGTGGAATGAAGATATAAGTGTGGAAG